CTTGTGGGCATCTGTGGCGCTGAAATGGTTTGCTCGTATAACTGCTATACAATCTAGGTTGACTACCCCATACCGTAATTATTCATGTGGAAAGCAAAATGGAGCTCATTTGCGACACTTTGAAATGGTATTTCGCCAGAATAGGGTTCTCCACAAATTTGATCTACGCTTTTCTTACGCATGACTTTCCAAATGTTCAACTCAAATAGTAAATTGCTGCTCCTTCCACGTTGGAGTGCCTGTTTATGTCCACCAATGTAGGACCATCCGGTGGTCTCGTGCCCCGCAAGTTCTGTTCCAGTAACTGTAGTCATTAATGAATGTACTTGGGTATTAGCCCCTCTAACAGCTTCCTTTCCCCTGCAAATGACTGTATAATTCCGTGATTTTTTGGTGTTATTCTCTTTTAGCTTCTTTTTCTCTCTGATAAACGGGTGGCAAAGGGATCTTGCCCCAACCTACCTCGCCAGCTGTATGGAGACCCTCAAGAGTCTAGCAATTGCAAAGCCAATGGATCAGCCAGCTCTCCCCGCTGATTCCTCACCGGTGTCTCATCATGAAGGATTTTCTAACGAGAAGTTAGTCCGTTCTTCTTTTGGAAGACCGGTCAACACAACGTTGCATCCACTCTCCACACTCACCGAAGTTCATGTCGACAAGATGCCAATCGTACGGTGAGTCAATCTTTCAATCTTAACTATTTTTGTGACCTTGGAAAATTCATCAAGTCAAAAATATGTAGTGCCCGGTTGCAGACAGATGCTGCAAAAAATTGTTTCATTAAACCCTGATACAACACCTGACTTTCTTTCGATTTGTACTTTGTTCCTTATCTCCAGATTATTCGGTTCTGGAAAAGTAGAACTGTACTTTTATTTGGGGTCATTGACTTACATAATTTTTTTACCCACTTCATTCGTCATCTGTTGGTGTAAGTGCCCTCACATGCGTCAAACTAAATAGGTCTTTTGCTTTTCCTAGCTTTACTAAAACCATAATTCGTCGTTATTTCGAGCAATGATAGCACTTAACTAGTTTCGACTTGCGAGTTTCTTTTGATTGTGGTACTCTTGATATATAGGCATTGGAAGGCCGCCATACAAGCTAAATGAGTCTTAAGTAAACATTATCACTTTCTAATTGTAAATTTGGGGTCCTATTCATCGTCAAGCCTTTGCTAACATTTCGTGGTCGTCAAATCCAACTAAAAACTCTATTTTAGTAGCACACTTTCCACTTATGTCAATTTGGCTTCAAATTCAGTAACGTGCGGACATCATGAGCCAGTATGGATGAAAGTCCTGGACATCACTCAAGATTAGCCCACGCCTCTGTCCCTATAAGGTGGCAGTCGGACGGAGCAACATGTGGAAAATGTGGTGGCTGGGGCAGGGCTTTTCAGTTCAATTCATGGATTTTTGCTTTGAAGGATCCTGGTTCTGGGTCTTGTGTCATCACATCGGGGAAAAGCACCATTTAGAAAAGCATTTTTGAGTGAATAGACTGTTTTCAAACCTCGACATCACTGCAAATGGTTTCGCTAGACATTTCGTTTTACATTAAAAGTTGGTGGAGAACCTACATTCTTCTGCTTCGCACATTGTTCAGTTATCCCTTAAAAATTATTAAATGGTTTGCTTGAGATCAGATGCTAAATCCATGGGTATTCCTAATTTTTAAGCATCCTAGAGACCAGTATCACTGCTTTCATTTTGAGCAAATGCTCTCAAATTCGCTTTCAATGACATTAGTCTCATTTCTGTCCTTTAGAAACTCTTAAAGCATCAGATGTCTGGTAGATACCTTTCCGCAATTCAGTCTTTAAGTTTGCTATGGTGTTCAAATTAGTTCAAAATGTTAAAACAAGAGTACCACATTTTTAGAGAAAAAAAATTATTAGCTAGTAGACTTTGGCAGTTAACGGACAATGTGCTAATGTCTGTTAAATGTAGAAATAAAACTTCATTGACTTGTGAATATTCGTGATGTATTAACTCGGTAACTAAATGTTGCGGTTCTCCAGAGCGTAAATAACCGGTTCCCTCGTTAGCCCGTGGTAAGCCTCCCACACTAGCATTAGGACGAACCACGCAGAGCCAGCGCCGAACTAACGCGGGACAAGGCCTCGCGCTGAGGGCCTCTCACCGCCCCAGCCAAGTGCCGCGTGCACTTATGTGAGTGGCATGGGCGGCTTCGAATGAAGGTAGGCTTAAGTGCACACTGAAGGCCAAGGGGAAGGTGAAGTACGATGAGGGTATTAAGGTTGGCGTGCATCAACCTAAGTGATAAAGTAGAAAATCGCGAAAATCTTGAAGGATGTAGTCTTGGGGATGCGAAATCTCCAACACCAAAAGACTACAAAGCATAATCAGAATCGTTTTTTTACTGCTGGTCACCAGTGGAATGACGCGTTGGGCCTTTTGTGTGATTTGTGATACGACACGAGTTTGTGCGTGTGATAAATCTTGCCTCTAATTTGGTCTGTCACTCATCTACTTTTGTGCTTCCATCCATAGAAAAATCTCCATCCAAAGGCTGCCGCAACATCTCCTTCCTTCGTCCATGTCTTTTGAGGCGATTTCCAGCATAACTTCGATTGACGACAGAACCACAGACCGTTCTAGCACTTATGCTAAACGGAAGACCTTCAATCGGCAACCCACATTTATTACCAATCCGTTCCAGCTTGCCACTTCTGGTAAGTTACTTTTAACTCCCCTTCATCCATGTGATGGTTTTGGAGTTGTGTTTAGTTATTCGCATTCGGCCATATGTCACTGTCTTAAAGGCTATCTTGTTGAGGGCCCCGGCGTGTTGTCTAGAGCCACGCCGGGACCACTGCTACAATCTACGCCGAATGCGTTACCCTGTGTTCCCGCGAAAATAAAGAAGACCGGAGTTGTGAAGGCACAACCGTTTACTAGACAGCTCAACCAAGTTGTGTCGTGTACAATTACGGTTCAGTGGACATGTACAAAAATAAACACAGGCGTTCGTGAGGTCACATGACTAAAATGGGTGGTGGTGGGACATACAGCGTGGTTAATGAACCAGTGGCCTCACGTGACTGACGGCCAGGTCGTGAAAAGGGTTGACGTGTGCGGGAACCTTCGAGGACTGGGTTATTGGACACGAATCAAGACGAATCCCTACAATCTAAACAAATTAGTCGAGATCCAAATCGTGTCAAGAGCGTCCATTTGTAAGTATTACCAAACTTCACAATTATCCATTTAAAGAAACCTTAAAGTGGCACTCTTTAACCCTGGGTTTCATCAACTTCAGAATTCAGGTAAATAATGACTTTGAAGGGGCTCATGTCTTGGATGGGTTCGTTGTTTCTGAGGTTGAACCTGAGGTATTTTATGAAAGTGGTTACTCTTTGTGACTAAAAGTCTTTATCCTGGGATTACGTTGCCTCCCAGCTGTACATTGCAGAATCACATTGCATCAATTTTCTTAAACAAAATCATGGTAATTCTTTCTTACTATCAATTCCAATAAGGTTAGCGTATTGAAACACTGAACTTCCAGAGGTCCATGGCGGCGGTTTGAGCAGCGAAACTAAAGTTGTTTTTTTTTTTAAATTTATCACGCTACATGAATATCTCCCACTCTTTTCACTGTAGATACTGTTGACTGGGTGTGCAATGATCTTGCATACATCGACGTCGTTTTCGACAATCCATTTGCCATACCGCTTTCGCTGGATGAAATGGTTAGTTTGTTAAAGTGGCGGTTTTTTCATTAAGTCTGAAATGTTATATCCACTCTGTGTGCTTGCTTTTCGACCCACCTCACCCAGTCACTACAAGGTTTATTATTTTCTAAACTGATATATCGACATTGTTGTGTTGATGAGTATATCGAAGGACACGAAAAGCTTTATAAATGTTTTTTGCAAAGCCGGGCCCAATAGAATCAAAGTCTGCGTCCATTATAGGACATGGTAGACTTTACCTGTAAAGCCTGTTGATGTACTAGTTGATTTGCAGGGATGCCTTTACCGAAAGGCTAGAAAATGACATAACACACCCCCTCTAACTGGTGATGTACAGTAATTCGATAGTATCTAACATGTTTTCACACATTTCAGTTGAACTTAGACAGTATTACCCCCCAAACACATTCTCGATTCGGTCCCAGTGCAGTTGGTGACAATGTGTGTTGTAGCTTAACCCCATAAGACCAATCGAAGTTCCGTGTTACCGTGAGCATCCGTCTCACATATATCGTCACTATAACGTTTAATAATCTAGGGCCTTGGACCATGTTTAAACCACTTTAAAAGTTCATTCCATTATGTGATCGCTCGCCCATAGCTAATTACTCAACTTACAAAATCAAAAACCAGCCACTTGGTTGCACTTGGTCATTTGACTCGCTTAAAGTAGCATTGAAATCGTTATTTGTAAATTCAGTTCCACATTTAATTTGCTGTCTATTTGAACTTCTACCACCGTCCCAGTGCTTGATATATCCCAATTGCATGTCTAGTGTGGGATGCTTGGGGAAAACACAGTCTATGGGATCATAGGAAGCGTTAAAAAGATGCTAAATCGCACCGCAATGGAAAGTTTTTCAAGGTCCTTGGCCGTCGATAACCCATGGAGTGTGTGGTCGGGCTGTGTGGTGGATGCACCGAAATGTATGTTTTGGTGTTGACGTGGCACCTATGGCTTCCATAACTTGTCATGCATGTTTTTTTCATACTGCATTTATGTTAACTTCTTCATTTTTATTCTCTGGTGCTTGTGTAACCTATGTACTCATAACCATTTCCCCCATAATTTATTCTGTAATTATTGTGTATGTTGTGCATGTTCGTAATTCTTATGTAGGCTTTTGACTTCGCACCTCTACTTGCTGGAAATTCTAACAGCAATTCTGCACACCCAATCAGTCTCAAATGTTGCCGGGTCATTTCAGTTCAAGGTTCTCCCCAGGTATTAAAATGTTGCCTTCTGCATTGACCCTTTTACATTTCGTGCTACCGTAGCGGCCATTTGTACATATCTTATGCACTGGAGTTTTCCTTATGATGGCTCCTGCCAGCTCAAAAGCCGTTAGCTGAAAGCAGTTGGAATTAGTTACAGACATGATCATGTTTCACTCAAATTCAATGTGATCAGTCAATCAAACCTTTTTACTCCAGAACCTTAAATCTCTTCTCTATTTAGCATTGAAGCAACTCACTTCAACCAACTCTCACGCGGATGTGAAAAGGGTTTTTCAAATAGGTCACGTTTTCTTATATTTAGTCAATCATCTTTTAAGTAGTCAATACGCACACAACTGCTACCTTGTAAAAGTTGTTTCTTTATCGACCACCCCAGAGCTGTCGTGTCTCGGCCCCGGTGACCTAATTTATAGTAGGATTCAGTAGACTTCAATTTAAGAATTGTACTTTTGTAATCCTAAGCCTGAATCACCGAGTCAATTTTGGGCAAGTCGATATAACCTTACTTCAATTCCATCGAGATTAATTGTAATTCATTATGCCTCCACCATCTAGGAAGAAGTGATGCTTAAACCCTTTTCTGGATGCCTCATTGAGCAGGTGTCTCTCCACCTTTTACATGGCATCGCACCAGAAGCTGTAAGCTATGTTAGTGAAGTAGTGCTCCCACCCAACTCCACTGGGAATCGTTTCGCTTTTGGCCTGGTCCCCCCTCGCACCATCTCTGAGATTGAATCGGAAAAGGTGGGTTCACTTAAAAGTAGTTTAAGCACAGTGTTGTTGTTGTTATTGTTAAACTGTGGAATTCCACTTTCCGTTTTAGTGGAGACTATGTGCGCTCTCATACCGTTTAATAACATTTGGCGGATTTCGAGTAAATTTGCCCCTGGCCATAACTAATAAGAGCTCCAGCACTCTCAACACGAGTTCCCTTCAATTGTCGAATTCCTCAACTTGGTCGGATGACGGCGACCCCAGTAAGGTGGGTCCCGCTATCCATGTGGCTGGTGACGTCCTCCCACCAATTCGAATGTGCCCTCCACTTCCACGGCTCTGTATCCTCGTGGGGCCAAGCACCCATGAAAAGGTGGAACCGGCTAGCCTGTGTAGAGGTTTGATTCTAGACAACTTGGCCGGTCGTCTCCCATCATTTTCGCCCACTGTTCAGCTGGCCAGTACTTCGCATAATCAAGATACAAGACATAATCTTTGTGATGTAAGTCCCCTACAAGCCATCAGAATGCTTATCCCTCTTTTTGAGTCACTTTACTTTCCTCATCATCGGCCTTACCGCTACACCCGCATTTCATTCTTACGTTTAAGGCAAGTAACTAAGTTTTCACCAAATTGTCTGTATCATCATGTCGCCTTCCTTGCCTTAGTTTTAAAGTGCTATTTTGGAGATAAATTGGGAACCAATGTGCGCCTTTAGTCGCGTTCGCCAACTATGCTGTAACAACATTCCTTTAGAGTTTAGCTGGTGTGTAGGATCAAACAAACGTCACTAAATTACCGACAATGGTGACTTTCCAAATAAAAATGGTAATTAGCAAATGCATATTTACTCATGTATTTCGCATTACACAGCTTGTCTCCTCCTTTCTATGCATATTTGGTTTATAAATCAAGTTAGTAAAGGCCCCTCTGATTAATTGAGTGGTTTTCTCTGCTCTCGGCGCGTCGATATTAAACTCGATACACTGGACTTGGCGTAAGGTCATTTGTCTGGAATACTTTTAACCCAACCGCTTCAGGTAAACACCATCGCTTGCTACTACATCGTTGCTAGAGGAGTCGGATAAATTTTAGTTCATTTTAAAGATAGACAATTTCACCCACAAATGTGGGGTTTGCCTGCTACTGTTCCGTGATTCTGCACATACGTACCTGAGTAGGCCAGATGTAGGTTGTCTAATGTGTGCTATACCATTTGCTCACAAGGTATTTTTTGGGACACTGCACAACTTGGCTGTTCTTTGAGTTTTCTTTCGTGGCATTTTAGCTTCGTAACAAGGGAACTGACATTTTAAACTAGTGGATGTCTAATTCTACTGTTAGTTTATTAAGCCCCTCGGTCGCACTGGGTGCCCAGCCCTTGAGGGGAGTGTAAAAACTGCTGGGGTAACATAAATTTCCGCCTACACAAATTTAAATCTACCCTATGGCAAAAGCGGCCCTTCACCGATTTGATGCATCAACACATTGTCACTCCCTAAGACTATTCAATGAGGTCCTCCCTGTGTGTCCATTCCATGCCAATTTTACAAACTTATTTCTTTTCTCATAGATAGTCATTGACTTGCACCCCTTCGAAACCCGCTGGTTGCCCATTCAACTATTCGTCGTGGAGAACGCATGTCCCTGTGAGGAGGTAATCTCTTTTGACCGGCCCCTTCCTTCACATCAAGATCAAGAAACACCCCAGTCCCTCCTCAACCTCCTCCACATCTCCCTACAAAAAACTTTGACCACAAACAAGTTCCTTCAAGCACACAGTCTGCTCATGGGACAATTTTTACAAATCCTTGGTGTACATGAAATTAGGCAGAAGGTGAGCAACCTGCATAACATTTTCTAACCAACTTGTTTACCAAGAGACTTCCGTTCTTTTGTTTTTTTTTGTAACATTCCTGATCACCATCGCGGCTTCATTCTTCACAATCAACAGTTTCACTTATTGCCAATAGGCAATGACCTCGTATCGGTACACAGCCAACAAGTTATTCTATAAACCTC